TAGGTCTGCTAATTCTTTGGCTGATGCTTTAGCCAAACAGGGGGTTTCTAGGGAAGATCTTTTATGTGCTTCTATGTAAGTTGTTATTAATTTGGAAATCTGTACTTAACTAGCCCGGAGAGGTTGCAACTCGTACCTTTCCTTGAGGACTTTGTACTATTGTCTATTGCTGTTTTATAAAATCATTTCAATTATCAAAAACATAATAATATTATCAGTTAAATATCTACTGGTACATCATTATCTAGTATCGACCTCTTAAAGGTTGAGCATCAAGTATTTCTACTTGAGGTACAAACGGTGCTGGTTGAAGAAGTTAAGCAGTTAAATCCTATAAAAGTAAAACAATCATACCACACTGGGAGGTAGAGTATCAGTTTCAGGTATCATGTTAGAGGCCGGAGTCGCTGGACTAGTTGTTGGAGCATCAGTGTTAGTACACCTCTCTCTCCTTTCAAATCTCTCAACCAAAGAACGTGTCCTTCCTGGTACAACAGCCACTGCCAAAGTAGAAAACTGAACAACTCAACTACCATTCAGTGCATTTTTTCCACAAAAGGGGGGAAAACAACTAGAATTTAACGGCCAAACCTCCATTAACAAACTTCACAGAATTTACTCCTTTGTCATAGCTGAGTGCATCATCACCTGAAAAATTAAGTAATTTTGAGATACAACTCATGAGCTTTTTGAGCTACCAAAAGTAATCCTCCTCAAAATTTCAGCAAAAACTATGTAGTTACATCCGTTATAAAAGGTTCCCAAACAGAATGGCACTTGGATGGACAAACATGAAACATGACATAAATGTTTAGGAACAAAGATATAAATGCTAACATCACGGGATTGACCACCATAAAGCCCTTGAAAAAAGATATCACATCTCCATAAACCCCTGTAGTTGCACAAGAAACCATGTTCATTTTGTCATTGTGTGATTTAAGGGCTCCATGACACACAAGGGTCATGATGCTGGCATTACTCAAAACAACATACTAAATTAAAAGAAAGTTCATCTTCAGCAAGGACTCCAGATGCTTCCTTTTAGTGACCTCCCGAAATGGACCAACTCAAATTGAACTTTGATGGAAGTAGAATGGGAACCCAGTCAGATGAGATATTGGTGTTGTGATCAAAGAAGGAAGTGAGTTGATATCGGCAATATATTCTGGCCCAATAGAAGGAGACTCTTTATAGGCAGAATTATCAGCCTATCTTTTGGCTTAAAGCTTGCTGTATATCTAAACCACACAGACATCTTGATGGAAGGAAACTCACACATAACAGTGGAATGTTTAAGACAACAATCCAGGACTGTGGAGGTACAGGAATCTGGTTCTGTTAAGGGATACCAAGAGTTTAATGAGGGAATTAGGAGCTATCATTGGGTGGACCCAAAGGAAACAAACAGTTTGGCTGATTCACTAGCCAAACAAGGGGTGAACACAACTGATATATTTTGGGGGACTAGTAAACAGTGTACAAACAAACTAGCAGGTATAAAAGAGGTATAACTGGGTTAGTAGCAGGGACCAGGGGGTACCAGGTTATGAGGGGTGCTCAGCAAATCACTTGTACAAAACACATTCTTTTCCACAATTCAATAAAGTCAACAATTACCAATCAAAAACACAAAGCTCATGTAACAATGTAAAACAGAACAAACTGGTTTTAATTAAAATAAGAGAAACTTCAATAGAAATTCCATTGTGTGTACTGGTAGCTATCTCACTAAAGTTTATATTTCTTATAATAACAAGCACAATCTAGTAACTAGTAAATAAAATAAACAAATATATAAAAGTAAAAGACTGCATTTTATTTATGTATTTCTGTGACAGACACAAGCAGAGAGATATAATAAAAATAGCAATGAAATAATGGTAATATGGCACTCAGGTAAAATGACTTTACAGTTTTCGTTTTTGGAGGATAATGGAGGCTCCGGTGTTAGAATCTTTTCAAACTTCTCTGCTACATGCCTGATACCTGAGGGTTTCACTTCACAGGTTTCTGTATCTTCATCTTCTGTAACAAGTTTTGAATGGTCGTTTGGATCATCTAAACCACTTTTCTTGCTTCTGCAATAATCAGATTCGACTTCCAGCGGCAACCTCTCCATATCACATTTACTATTTGATAGCCTGCGAATGTGAGATGGCTTGAGTAACATACCAGGGGTGCTTCTTTCACTAATGACAGATTCTCTTCTGGAATTGGTAACATTTTCTCCACTTGGACTGTTTCTAGGTACAACAACAGGAACTGTGAAAGGTCTACTAGTCACTTGGCTACCAGTTCTACCTTTCACCTCCACTGGAGGACTCTTCTTCAGAGTTGACAGGTAACGGTTTTCATCAGAATCCAGGGGGAGTGCCACCTTTGAAGAATTGATTGATCCAAGTCGTTGTAGACTCCTCTGAATGCCATTACTTGCTTTTCAATGGAACACCAATATAGAGACCAAGGAAGGAAAAAAAAGTCATATAAAGAGAACCATGCACCAGAAAACAAGGATCAAATATTTAGTATTTATGGTATTGATTTGCTCAAAAGAATGAAGAGCATTGAAACCATACTCAATGTGGCTATCTTAGAAAAGGTGTGTCCAACACAAACCCAAAATTTTCCATATGTATGGCATTTTTGTGGTAAAATCTTGGGCTGACAAGCATGATAATGTGGGTTTGAATCTGAGAGTAGCCACTTTGTGCAAGAGATGCTAGAGGTTGGGTCTGTACCAAGTCTACCCCACCCAAGACCCCAAATTGCCAGTACCAACATTGAAAAATGGCCCTTGTGGCATTTTTATAAGTAGGGAGGGGAATTAAATTCCCAACTCCCTTGAAAATTTGATTCTTCTAACCCCCTTGAAGTTTATTAAACTGACAAGATATGCAGGATTAACAGCTCTCCCCCTTTTACCCTCCTCATTGCATACAAATTAGAATTTGTGAGACAAGGAACACAGAACCTATGATCTTATGAGCCCAACCCACTTATTTACAACTTTTGCAAAATTGACTTACAATCCACATATATATTCTTTATCTCTTTGCTGTCATAATCCTGTGGCATGCTCAGCACTCCCGCATTAGACTTTATACTACTCCCTGATTTTTGTACAGAATGGTTTTCTTGAAGGTCAAATTTCTGCTCCATATGACTATGCGACCGGGGTACGACCCCAACTCCATATGGCCCAATGAACTGAAGAATGCAACCATTAAAATCTTGAGTTACTAAAATTATGTTTGTGTTATATATCGAAAAGGACACACTTGATCAAATTGGCATGGAAGAAAAAGCAAAAAGTACCGAAGTATCTGCAACCCACACTCCGACACTATTTCGATGGTGTGAGCAGCCCAAGAGTTTTCCATCATGAATACAGAGGTCAGCCAGTGTAGACCATCCCATGTCAACAGCATCATGACATATTATGGGCTCCCATGAAAAAACCTTGAGTTAGAGAAAACAAAGACAATGTCATCAATCACTCATTCCCAGTTACATCCTCAGAAAATTACATTTATGAACAGATACATGCCTTCAAACCATCTTCCAGTCCACAAAACAGGGTCCTTCCATCAGGATGGAAGATCATAGAGCGAACCCCTGTAGCCTGGGAATGAAACAAGGCCAATCTGTTAGAAATTTAATGAAACTTGACGTAACCAAGAATACAGTGTAATTTTACTGAGTAAATAGAGGAAATAAACAATGGATCACAGTATATAAGAAAAAGGGTGCTAGGCAATTCTGGGCAACATTGGGGCGCCTAGTCGCCTAGGCAATAAAAATTTTATAATATAAAGAAATAACTTTTTGGTTGGTTTCCTATTTTACATACCATTCAGCATGCATATTAATTGAAACAATAGCAAGATTCTTCATTAAGAACATTAAAATTCCTCTAAAAATGTGGAAAATTATCATATCTAAAAGAGCAGTTTCATATTAATTAGCAGCTAAAGAAGGTTATCAACTTTACAAGGTAAAAATTCAAGATGATAAAGTTAGATAGAAAGAAACAAGGATGGAGTTGCTACTTTATTTAATTGATGAGAAGGAGAGAGAGAGAGAGAGAGAGAGAGAATAAAAAACCCTCTCTATTCTTCTATTCATTCTTTCTTTTTCTCTTCTCAAAACCCTTTGATCTTTTAAATTTCAATAATAAAACATTAAAACAAAATGTGTGTGTATATAAACATACTGTATAGTAGAATGTATTAATACACATATTAACAAGATTCAGCAATATAAATTATATTACAAATTTACAATAAGGTGTCCGCCTTGTCATTTTTGTCACCTAGGGTGGGCGCCTAGTTGCTATAACTCAAGGCATTTGGGCAAGGCACCCAGCCAAGGGTGCCTAGGCAACACCTTGACAACTATGGGAAGAACATAAAAAATCTGCAAAAGCAATAAATAATAAAATACATGTATTACTACCTCATAGTTCCAAAGGGAAATTCTTTATTGCCAATTGCATAAAATATTCTAATTGTTAATGAATGGTAATTGTGATTATTCTCATGTTTCCTTACCTTTTCACTCTTTTAATGTGTCTTTTGCTAGAATGTAGGCATTTATGACATACACTCTATTTTATTCACAGGTCCAACCTCATGAATAGGGCAGTAAATGGTATCTGTTAGTCTGAATTTGAATTCAAATCCAATCCAGTTAAGGTGATCTTAAATGAATCCATTTATAATTGGATCAAACATGGATCCACCCCTATCCAATCCAACATGATCAGATCTATATCTTCATAAAATTAATATGTGTCTATTAGTAAAGTTGGTCTAATTGTTGTATGATTATTAAAGAGTCACTGTTTCGAGTCTCATAAGTTTTTTTATTTATTATATACAATATTCTTATAATTTTTAGTTAAATTTATAAATAGCATTCAATATCTGAAACCAATCCAAGTTCAATCTTTCTTCGATATATAAGATTTTATTTGAATCATGAGGTTAATAGACCAAATTTGGATCTAGATGTCTCAGGTTCAATCTGATCCATTCGCATCCCTATTAATGAAATCCATATTGTTTAGAATAGGCCACAGGGAGAAGGATAAAGCACCTCACTTCAACAACTCAAGTTAAACTGCAGATCCTTACAATTTAGTATCTTCTTTATAGTCTCAATCCCTATAATAATCAAGACAAGAACTTGGGCCTGAGCTTTGAAACAAAAGTTGTGGCATATAAAGCACCATGGGCTAATAGGAGTGCAAGTAAGATATGATACGCATCCCTATCCATGTTCTTGAACTCAAGAAATGGAAAGTCATATCCAAATACTGTGTTTGTACCCATATCTGAGAATCCTACCTAGAGTGTCCAAATACCTTAGCACTATCGGAAGCTTATTTGTTTAGATTCACAACGAAAGCCAGTATGCATGGCATGGGCATGAGTTGCTACTTGCTAGATTTACATGAAAACATCAACACCCACACATCTATAGTGGTATATACACGGAACTGCAAGTACTATCCTCAAGTGAATGACACCAACAAGCTTTAAAGAGCATCAACAATAAGCAATCTACATTGGGTCACACTGAGTCAATGTAGATATATTTAGCAAGATAAAATTTGTAAGGTGTAAGATCAAGTAATAATTAGATAGAAATAGAGAATAAGATTCAAATATTACTCTGGCCAGTCAGGCTTGTCCAAGTGGTCTAACCTCAAAATCCAATTCATCCTGTAGTATGGGATGTAAGGTCAATTGGAGTTGCAGGCCATTGGATTAGGCCACAAACACCTTTTGCTTAAACATGTACTTCTGTATAATTCTTTTGGTTGAGGCGATAAACACTTTTTGGTTAAGCACTGTACTTTTATATAATTTTCATTCCTTTATGCATAATGGAACACAAAGTAATCAGGAGGACATGAACCCAGGTCACTAGGATGGCATGTGAAAACATACCCTCCTAGTGACCTGGACAAGGGTTACAACCCATTATCCAATATTCATCCCAGATATCTGGGGTCTTGGGAGGGGTAGAGTGGATACAGTCCCTAACTTTTGACATTTTTTGCACAAAGTGGCTGCTCTTAAACTCAAACCCACATTCTCACACTTGCCAGTCCAAGATTTTACCACTAAACCAAGAAATGGTCCTGGCGAAGAGACAATAATTAACATTTTAAGGAAGACTGGAAGCACAACAAACAGTTTGTTTACCTCTGGTCCTGCAGATCCAATCAGTTCGAATGTTTCTAGATCCCAGAATTTTACTGTCCTGTCTGCAGAACCTGAAAAAGTAAATCTTATATTAACCCTAATCATTTCAACAAAGGAATGAAACTTGCTACTTGCAACTACATTATATGAGGCATAAGTTATTTCAAGCCAGTTTATTGACCATTTGTAACACATACAATTCAAGAAGGGAAAGAATGGGTTCCCATGTACAGAACAGAACAATAAAAATGAACTACCCACTAGGCTGCATCTTATCAACCACAGTTGTCTGAAATTGAAACTTGGTTGTCAACTCAACTCAATGAAGATTTATCTGAATAAAATTTTGCAAAACCTACACTGTAAATACTTATGCACTCTTGGTTATAACAAATAGACATCAGTGTCTATGCATGACTAAGTGACTGTCTTTTTTTATCAACTGTATGTTTTATTGACATTAAAAATATATGGTAAGGAAATGCAATCGGTATAGTCAATATATGTACAACAGATACAGCCCGGTGCTGCTCTCCTAGTTCCAAGAGGAGCTGAAACTCCACCAACAAAGCTTCTTTCATCCCAGAGGGTACTTCCTCCACGTCATTGATTGCAATTAACTCTTTTAATTAGCTAAAGAATCAGCATGTAAGTCAGCAAGTCTTGGAATCCATCTAAAAATAGCTTCTAAGGTACATGTTAGTGATCTCACTTATCTAATCTATGGCCCTTTGACTCCTTTCATTTCTCCTTTTAACCAAGCAGTATTGACCTGTGAGTCCCTTTCTACATTTTTTAGTTTTCCTATACCTATTGGATTAAGTGGATTTGTTTATATGCATTTATATGTATCTACACAAGAATAGTGTGTATCACTTATTTCATCTCTTTCAACCAGTGAGTGGTTTGGGCAAAAACCAGGAATCAAGGATCATGCTATTACATTTGACATGGCAATGTCCTGGCATGTGCTTATGGGAAGCTAAGCCTTGATTGCAAGGAAAAAAGGCATCCTCTTAGAGTCCTTGAGAAATAAAAGGAAAGGAGAGGAAGGAAACTCAGGCCTAAAAAGTTGGCAATGGGCCTAATAAGCTCGTCAAAAAACCCAAAAGGTCAGTTAGAAGACGACTAGAAGACTACTCTCAAAAAACTGATAAGAAAAGTTTTTGATTGGAGTCCTTTAACTTTTTGAACATTACAAAAAAAAAGGGCAGGAACTGAAAGTTACCAAACATCAAAATTCAAATAACTTCATGATCATTTTTCTGTAAACAAAAAGCATAAGATTCATTAATTAGAAAAATCAAGTACAACAAGAAGTTGTGGGTGGACGAGCAATCCACACTGTCTCACTAAATACATCACAGCCCAAAGCAAACCCAAAAGACAATCCCTTTAATTTTTTTTTTTATCAATAACAGATAAACAGGCTTAACTCACTCCGGGAAGATAACAAAAAAGAAAAACTTACAGAACAGCCCAAAACATTTGATCCCTTCCCACCCCCTGCTTTGCCAAAGCATCACAAATGCATTTGCTGTTCTCTTGACCCACTGAAACTTGATTTCCAGTCCTCTAGTTAGCCACTTAATCTCCCTCCTCTCATTAGCATATTTCCAAAGTCCACTACTTTCTTGTAACCAACTTAAGACCAGCTTTGAGTCCCCTTCAACGACTAACTTTTGTATATTCAGTTCCTAAGACCTCCTTATACCCTCCAGTACTGCATAGACCTCAGCTTTGAGAGAGTCTCCAAACCCAATGGAATCTGAATTCAAAGCAAGCACCTTCCCATCCTCATCTCTGAAAACCCCTCCTACACCTGATGGACCTGGATTTCCTTCACTACTTCAACCGAAGTTTAGCTTTATAAGTCCACTTCCTGGTGGTGACCACACAGGACAAATTAAAGAATGAGCAGGAGCAGAATATGCCACCTCCAGCCAGCTATTCAGCAACATATCCGTAGAAATATCAACAAACAGGTCCAAGGATTTCAGTCAATGTACCACCCTCACTGTTACTACTTCAATAAGGCATTCTTTACTTCTTTCAATTTCAAAGAAAATTCTGGTGTTCCTTTCCTCCCAAAGAGTCCAACAAACAGCAGCCTTCACACATCTCCACATTATCCTTCCCCTTTTGTTTGGCCAACCAAAGTATGAGGAGCTAAACAAACTTTGAATGTTTGGCGGTGGGGTCCACCTGCAACCAAAAGAGAAAAGAAACCATTCCCAAAGATCAGTAGCAAAGGGGCAAGAAACTAATAAGTGGTAGGAGCTTTCACCATTATCCTGCAAAGAATGCACCAATTCAGAGACAAGCACCAAAAAGGCCTTTTTCTTTGGAGTACGTAACATGTATTACATCTTCCGAGGAAGGCTTCCCAACAAAAGGCTCCAATCCTTGGAGGAATCGGCTTACCCCAAACATCCTTAACTGGAAAGTTTTGTACAAATGGACTGGATGAAGGCAGTACGGACTTGAAGAAAGAGGCACAAGAGAAGGTTCCAGAAGGAGTTAGGGTCCACAGTCTCTTATCCCTCTCAAAGGGAGCCAACACCACCCGGTCTAAGATCTGAACTAGACTCATGGCATTCTCAACCTCTACATCCCTTAAGCCTCTTCTAAGCCCCAGATCCCAATCAAACCCAAAATTAGACTGAGAAGGAACTAGAAAACTAGATACAACCTTGCCCTTAAATCGGGAGAGTGAAAACAAGCAAGGGAATTGGTCTTTCAAAGGTATCTCACCCACCCAAATGTGTTCCCAAAACTTTACCTGATTCCCAGAGCAGAGGTCATACTTAATGTGCTGCAAAAATGAAGGAAGAATGGCATGTATAGATTTCCAAGGACAGGCACCAACAGACCTTGCCAAATTCCTAGTGTCCCAGCCATCATCTACTTGACCGTGAATACTTAAAATTATCCTTGTCCACAGTTTATTCCTCTCACCTCCCAACCTCCACAGCCATTTCCCCAACAAGGCTTCATTTTTCCTCCGAATGTTACCTAAACCTAACCCTCCGTCAACCCTACTCCTAGAGACTAGATCCCAATTCACCCTATGATCCTTCCTCTCCTCCCCTAGTTCCCACAAGAAGTCTCTCATTAACTTCTCCAAACTCCTACTTATCTTCACTAGGATCCTAAAAACCGATAAGTAATACACAAGCAAACTAGCTAGTGTAGACTTGATCAAAGTAATTCTACCACCAAGAGATAAATAGTTCTTCTTCCAAGAGGCTAGCTTCTTAGCAAATCTATCAATTACGGGGGCTCCAAAAGCTCTCTTTCCTCGGGTTATCCCCTAAGGGCATCCCCAAATAGTTTAGCGGCCATTGAGACACCGTACAACCCAAAGCTTCAGCCCTCTCCAATATAGCTCTTTCTTCCACATATTGATCCCCACCACACAGCTCTTATCGAAGTTCACCTTCATATTTGACATTTGTTCAAACACTTGAATCACCAACTCCAAGTTTTTGGCCCATCTCACATCCTCCCCCTCACAAAATAGAATTGTATCATCAACAAACTATAAGTGGGTGATAGGAATGTTGTCTTTTCCAACTCTCCATCCCCTCACAAGACTTCTTGAATATGCTTTCTCAATTAACCTCCCCAACACTTCAGCGATCAAGGTGAAAAGAAATGGAGAGAGGGGATCCCCTTGTCTAATTCCCCTAATAGTCGGGAAGTGATCCACTACCTTTCCATTTACCAGGATGGAGTAATGACAAGTCTCTATACAACCCAAGATCCATTTACACCATTTCTCCCCAAAACCAAAGACATCCAACACTTGCATCAAAAAAGACCAATCAACCATTTCGTAAGCCTTCTCTAAATCCAACTTGCACACAACCCCTTTCCTCCTTGTTCTCCGCCTATCCTCCACACACTCATTGGCAATTAGAATTTGATCCACAATCTGCCTATTTCAAACAAAAGCCCCTTGATTATATGAGATTAGCTCCGGAAACACCTCTCTAATTCTTCTAGACAAGACCTTCGCAATGATTTTATACAAGCTATTAACCAAACTAATGGGTCTAAAGTCTCTTGGATGACTTGCTCCCACTTTCTTTGGGACCAAAGCAATAAAAGTTGAGTTCAACCCCAGATTTATTACTCCCCTCTGGGAAAATTCAAAAAACACTTTAAGGATATCCTCCTTTAATATCTCCTAACAATCTTGGTAAAAAGCCATGGTAAAGCCATCCGGTCCTGGTGCTTTAGCTCGATCCATTGAGAAAACCGCTTCCCTTATTTCCTCCAACTCAAAATTTCTTTCAAGCCACATCTTCTCCTCGAACAATTTTGGCCAATCTAACCCTTCCACCCAGATTCTCTGGTTTAAAGGCCTTCTAAATAAAGACTTAAATGCTCCACAAAGGCCCTAGCAATCTCATCCTATTGAGATATTGACACCCCATCTATCTCCAAGATTTTCCCTTCTTCTACCATCGGCCATTGCATGAAAAAATTTGGTGTTTCTATCACCTTCTTTCACCCACTTATATCTAGACTTTTGCCTCCAGCTGACTACCTCTTTGAATAGGATGTCTTCTAGTTGCTTCCTGAGCTTCCATCTTTCTTGTTTGTCTCTCACTTCAAAATTGCCTCCCCTTTCTTTGGCATCTAACTCCTCAATCTAATTGATCACTTCAATTTTTCTCTCTTCTATCCTTCTAAACTGTAGAATATTCCACCTTTAATCTTCCTTTTTAACTCCTTCAACTTCCAATGAAATTTCATCCCCTCCCAAATAGCACTTGGGTTAGCGTCATTCCACCAATTTTCCACCAACTCAATAAACCCAAGGTGAGATAGCCACGTGTTCTCAAATCTGAAAGGAGTGGGCCCTCTAGTACCGAGATCCTCTCTCATTAAGGTAATAGGCCAATGATTTGATGTTACCCTAGGCAACGCTCTAGAAATAATAGTCCCCCAGTGCTCCTCCCAATCTGTTGTGAATAAAAATCTATCCAACTTAGAGCATATAGGGTTCTCTTGGAGATTGGACCAAGTAAATAGGCCATGTAGCAGAGGAACCTCTTTCAAC